TTCCTCTAAGACTATGGCTCTCGCTTGTGTTTCTCTCTCTCAAGTGTCCTTCCTAAGTGTCCAAAGCCAGTTTATGCAATGAACGTGTGAAAGTGTATCTCATGTACATAGGTGAGATAGGCCTTCAATTGTCAAATATGAGTTTTTCTCATTGTATTTTAAGGAATATGTCTCGTTATCATTCTATTCTCATTGTATTTTAAGGATGTGTGGGTTTTTTTAAGAAATATGTGAAGAAAGAGCCCTAGTATTGTTATTAAATGAAATTATTTTAACTTGTAAATAAAAAAAATCTTCCAAATATAGAAATAAGCGGGGAATTTTATCTAGTTTGCCCTTACTTATATTTCAAAACGTTTAGTGGAGTAATAGTCTCGGGGAGATAGAAATGAATTTATTTTCTTGCAAAAAGAGAGATTTGGGATAGAGAAGTATTTATTTTCAAGATTCAGGGCTTAGAATCAAGACACTCGGCTTTTGGGGTGCTTTTAATTTGTTTGTGCTTGACACGTGCGTGTAGTTGGCCCTGAGGATTGTCACTGCGGTTAATCATTCAAATGCCTTATCAGGAGAAACTAACTTATAACCACAATGACAAATATTTGTCAAAATTCTTGTTGCCTAAGTGCCTTGCTACGCCCCTCCTTATTTATCAATTTTCAAACTTATTTCGTTGTAACCCCTCCTAACTTTTCTTTTTCAAGCGGTATTCAAGTTTTCATATTGCCTAAAACAAGGATTGAGTGGACACAGCATGGGTTTGCCCTCTCTCTAAAACCTCTCTAACCTCTAACTCCTCTTTCTCTCTTTCAAACTGCTCTCTAATTTCTAACTTTTCTTTCTCTCTCTAAAATCTCTCTCTTCTAACACTATGGCTCTCCCTTGTGTTTGCATCTCTCTAGTCACCTAAGGCTTCCCTCTCTCTCTACGGCTCTTGAGCGTATTTCTCTCTCTCGTGACATTCCTAACTGTCCACAGTGTGTTTATGCAATGCACGTATGAAAGTGTATCTGATGGACACGTGATAGACCTTCTTTGTCAAATGTGAGTCATTCTCATTGTATTTTAAGGATATGTGGGATTTTTTAAGAAATATGAGAAGAAGGGGCCTATTATTATTATGAAATTAAATTATTTTTACTTGTAAATAAAAATATCTCCTCCAAACGAGTGGGGAACTTTGTCTAGTTTGCCCCCAGTTATATTTCAGAACTTCTAGTGGAGTACTAGTCTTGGGGAGACTGAAAGAAAGACCTATGGGATTTAACAGGGGAATACATTTTTTATTTTATTTTTTTCACCACTTTCTTTTGGCAAAATATCACTTACAGGTGGTCTTTATTATAATAAGATAAATTTCAAAATAAAATCAATATAACAATAAAATCAAGATCTTAACAACTTGATGTCATTGAAACAACTATACACTATGCTTAAGAATAAAAGACAAGATTGCAATAAACAAAAAGGAAGAGTGACATAGATTACTTCAACCGGGCTTATTACACCCCACACCGAGTCACTACTATCTGAAGGTGCGGGATCAACGATCTAGCTTCAATCTCAAATCGGAAAAGCAAATTTCAGTCAAGCCACATCAATGGAACATGAACTCCTTTTATCACAAACTCAAACTCTAGGTGAATTATCTTAGCAACCTAATTTAAGAGATATGGATTCTCTTTTTGCTAAACCCTAAAATCCTTAGCTGTAAATTCATATTTAAGA